AAATTTGTACTTTTGTCGTCAACATGTGGGATTTCTGTGGCAATAAATGCTCAATTATGATAGAACAGCCTCAATGAGATTATTTTTATTAAAAATAACGTAATTACTCCATTCATAATCCATACTTTCAGAGGAAAAAAACAAAGTACTCTTGAAAAGACTATATTCAAAAGCTTTATCAAACGTTTGTATGACATTTACTTATACTTACCTGCAATTCAACCAAATTTATCCTCTATCTCTTCCATCTTTCCGTATACTTTATTACATTAAGTGCATAAAATTAATCGTACTGGCTGAAAACTGGAGAACAATGAGTAGTTCGTAAAAAATAGTGCTGCTTGGTGCATGCGATCCTACTTCATTGATGATTCTTGATATTTTTTTTGATTATTAGTGCAGTTCAGATTCCCATTACTTAGATCAATGCAAATTTCGTTCGAATTATCTATTTATACCTATGGTATGCGAAGAAGAGATAGAGGTTTAACGATTCTTTCTCATTCTCCCCACTCTGTTTGAGCCCGTTGGTAGAAACGTATAAAACATTCTAGCAGTCATTCGATAGCGAAAATTAAGTGAATTAGAACGATGTAGTTTATTCCTGAATGGCCTGTTTTCTTCGCTGTGACAGTCGGAAAAACATTTTGTTTCACATTCAAGCATTTCTCGCCGGATAAAGCTTTTTCATTTTGATAAAGGACTTCTCAGAGTGTTGTGTAACGGTCCAGAGAAGATTAGATTTCGCAAATTTAGATAATTTTTCAATATCCGCATCCTGTTTTGACCCTCCAGGAAAAGCGCGCTTCCTGATTTTTTCTAGTGTTATATTGACCATCCAATAGTTGAAATCTTGGAGATTTTGATGGTAACTTCATTCTCAGAATGGCTTCTTTAATGAGGTCTAACAGTGAAAATCAAAATATCTTTCACACTCAAGCATTTTTCACTGAAGTTAACTTTTCTATTGGGCTTCTTATAGTTCTTCGATACCTCAAATCTCGACAACTTCCACAATAACATTGTTCCAAGAAGAACTCTTTTTTGTACTGTGGTAGTCAAAAGAAGATTACTATCGCACTTAGTTGATGTGTTGCTTAAGGCACGGTGACTTGAGGCCAATTTTGCGAAACCCCACCCTTTGAAGTGCGAACCCAACCTTTTTTTGACTACCACAGCTCACCAAGGAGTCCTTTTCATAATCAAACCACGACGTTGAAATCGCTAAGATTTGCACATCTGAATGGTTATAACTTTTCCATAAAAAAGCTTTATCCGGCGGGAAATCCATAGATGTTTAACGAAATCTTTTTCTACTGTTACTGCGCAAAAAACAAGCCATTTGTGAGACACATTACACCATTCAAGTTCATTTAATTACAACTATAGAATGAATACTAGTGATCTATTGGAATAGGTCTTTTCTAGAATAAATCAAAGTCACATGATCGTAATTCTCAAATTGCGACTGCATGTGACAGAAATCGTTTTCAAAAGTAAGGATTTTTAAGACAGCTAGGCATTATTCTTCTTGGAAATACATTTACAGAGGTTTCATCAATGATATTTCAAGCTTTTTTTGGCAAAGGAGTCTATAAGAATCAAAATATAGCTACAAACCCAAAAAAATGCGCTTTCAATTAGAAAAACGGATTGCGATTACTATAAAACATCTTCATTTTTCATTAAAACGTACTATGGGATTATTCTCAAACAATACGCTTAGTATTAGAGTCAGAATTTCTCAAGCTATCTAATGACTATAAAAACATCAAGAAATGAGAAAATGTCAAACAACAGCCGAGAATATAGTCCTTTTCGCAATGGTATGGCAATGGCAATGGAATGTATGATTTTTTTTCTTTCGAAAAGGGAAAGATTTTAAGAAGCATTATCGTTAATCTTGTCAAAATTGTATATGAAGGAGACATATCAGTGATATTCCATAGTTTTTTAATGGCAGTGTTCTTCTGAGAGCTTTTTTAACCCGATTTTGTATTGAAGCAGGCACCACTCTTCGTAGCGCGTCCGCGCGACCCGCCCAGCTAAGGGTCATATTGACCCTCATCGTCCGCAAAGAGTTATACATCAACTGCGCACTCAATTCCTCACAACTTGCTTAATGAACTCAAAGAGTAGCGCATCCTTAAAAGACTGATCAGCTCCAAACGCTTTGGCAAAATATCCGTTCTTTTATTGCACTTACTTGAACAGTCTCTCATCGCAGATAAGAGAGAATTATCACGTGCGTTCAATTTCCACTGGAATGCCTTCTTGCTGATCGAACAAGATCTACCTTCTCAAAATCATAGGCCATTCTAGAACTTTCTCATAATATTATCACAGACACGCACAAGAGGTGGTTGCTAAAGTAACTTTTAACACTTCGAAACATGGTTGTTGCCAGCACAAAAGTGATTTTCAGCACTAGGTAACTCCTAATTAGGCATGCTGAACGGAACTGAGAGCTTCTATGAATTCTGGCGATCAGCTTGGAGATGTGCTAGATGATTTACGTCGTAGTTCAACATTCAGTAGTACCACCAACCCAATGAAGTTGTTAATAGCTTAAACATTATTTGCAAGCGAAAAACAACAGTCAATCGGTGCTGGAGAGAAAAGGATTTTATCACGCACATCTAGTTCCTTCAGTGCGAAATTTGTGTGGTTTAGATGCTGAGAGGTCTTCTCGTAGCAAACTGGCTCAAAAATCCATTCACTGAAAGAAGATCCACAGACCTACAAATATTTCACAACACTTTAGAATGTGATTTGATTACTGGATTGCCCTGTGATTCCTTTCCACTACCATTTAATCAGTCTTTCTGTATTTCACATCAGGTGATATCCAGTATGGTGTGGTGTGCTTGAGAATATTCTAGCAGACACTTGTATGCGGTAGTACCATCGCTCGCCATCTAAGTGAAATGGGTTACCGGAAAGTGATGTTTCGATGGACACCTCCAATGACTGACCACAACCGCGTTGGTTACGTGGACCATCTGCAAAAGCCTTTTGACTTTACTGCAGAAGAAAGACTTTCTCAAGTCGGTCATCATCTGAGATGAATGGATCTACTGCAAGAATAACACACGCCACGATCAATGTGCGCTTCGCGGCAAGACCTGCCAGCTCAGCCAAAGCCCAAGCTCCTTGTCCGGAAGACTGCGTTTTCATTTTCCTGTGACTGAAATGCCGTGGTATTTTGGAAACTGGAAACAGTCTGTGGGAGAAGTATCTGAAAAGACTCAATGTCGCCTTCCTCCAGGGTAAAGTTTGGACCGGCCCATTGCAAAGGCGGCGCGCTGCATGTGAGAAAAACCACGTTCGGCCAACAATACCGCGTCCACCGTATAGCCCTGTCATCGCTTCACAGAATTACCATCCATTCCGCGCCTTCAAGCAACATATTCGGTTGTAAAAATTCGGAGACTACAACCAGCTCAAAATTGACCTCACCAACTTCTTCTATTGCCACTCCCATTTTCTTAGGAGAAGGCATTGATCTTTCCCCAAAATATGGTTGCATTTAACTGATCACAATGGTGACTACAGCACACTAAAAATGATAAATATTGGAAAGCTGGTCCGATTAACTTGCCGAATTTTGTTTAAAAAAAAACCAATGACTTCCTGCCATGTTTTCGTTGACAAAAGCACCGCGTAGCGCAGCGGTTAATGATACGGTATGCAGGAATTAAGCTGATAGACCAGGCGCTGATTGAATCCCCTCGCGAACACGCTTTTGTAACCAGTCAACTGAACGGCTAGGGACACCTTAGTTCGCCTAGCTCCAAGAATGCAGTGAGAATCGTCTCGATCAGAATTCTACGACTTCAAAAAGAAGAAGAAATATTGAGTGACAACTGAATCATCACGTGAATTGTTGTTCGAAGATCCTTCTGGAGGTTGAATTTGAGGAAAACGAATCAAATGCAAGAAGTGCTTGGATCCGTATAGTAAATTGCAGTAACGGGTCGTTCAAAAAAGCAATAATAAAATTCAAAATTATTGATGATAATTTTGGCGAGTCAACAAGGCAGGAACTTGAACAAAATTTTTAGTCATTTATTCATTTTCATTTCTACGCATTTAGGATTTTTACCAACAAATTGAGACCTATTATTTTCATTGTCTAAGAAAATTTCGATTATCATGTTGGGTGTTTACTCTTCTAGAACAACACTCTATTGACTACACTATGTCCGACGCATAAAAGAAATGGAAAGGAGTCGTTTTGCGTATGTGCTATCTTGGTGATACTGGAACATTGTTAGTCACCGATATTACCTCATAACCACATCACTTAGAATTCCAAGATTAGGAGTCTGAGGGGTTTATAATAGAGGAAAGTCGCTTTCGAAATATACTACACTTTGCGCTAGCTTATAATGATACCGGCTACAGCAGGATAGATTCTTTGAAGAAAACAAGACAATGTCTACCATACGGTAATCAGCATATGCACCATTCCGTAGATAAGAACATTGCCGAGTAAGGTTCTTCACTCGAGCGAGTATCCCACCGAAGGAGATTCGACTCGAACGACAACGAAGACGAAGAAACCCAACGAAGACGAACGACTGTGGACAATTTTAATCTAATACTCGAAATCTTCTGGTATTTTTACTGTTTTCGCAGTGTTATGATGTTTCATAAATACCTAAGAGAATTGAGTGGTGAGCAAAACCACGACCACAGGTGAGAATCAAACCTGCGTTTCATCCTATCCGGGGACGCGTGCTCTACCATTACACCACCGAGGCACACTTGTGCCACCACTCATTCCTCAACATCTCTACGTTAGCTATCAGCCACCAAGTGTAACAGGTTTGGTTGGGTATGCGATTTCGCTTTATAAACCACTTGAGCTGACAGCCATTATGATAAGTAATACTCAAAATCTTCTGATATTTTTACTGCCTCTGTTACTATAAAAACTGTTTTGGTGGCTGATAGCTAACACACAGATGTTGAAGAAAGAGTGATGGCATAAATGTGCCTCGGTGGTGTAGTGGTGGAGCACGCGTCTCCGGATAGAATGAAACGCAGGTTCGATTTCCACCCGAGGCCGTGTTCTTGCTCACCACTCAATTCTCTTAGGAATCTTAATCTAGTCAAATCATTGGCTCTTAAGACGACTAAGACACCGAGATGTTAGCCGAATAGATCTTAATTGTCAACCTCATGGTATTAGCTAAGTCAAATAGAAACTACCATAGGCAAGAGTTTATTCTTTTTTCTAGACAAATCATGTTTTTAAAAAGTAATCAGTTACAAATCAAAACAAACTATCCAAAGGTACTTTTACAATAATCCTTTTCTCCAGCTCTTAGTTGATCGAATGCGATTATCGGCAAAGAAAAACAATGATGAAAGCGTTGTTCAACTCACAAAATCAGACTTTTCCTAGTTGCACCCCAAATAAACATAGAGCAACATGAAACTACTGTTTTTTTTCCAAAAGTCTGACGACTCTGAAGGCTTTCTTCTGATTCATGAAATTCGACAGATTTGCTGAGATTTTTGGAAGCTCTCGAAATCTGTATAATCCACACTATTTGAAAACAAATTGGAAAATAGAAGTGTAGCTCCACGAAAACTATCTTAGGGCATGATACGGCGAACGTCAGACGAACTGCGTTGTTCTGACACATTTCATCTATTTGAAGTAATGTGGCTTATCGAAGTTTATACAAATGAAGAAAAACGAAGACGTCTATTTTATATAAAACAAAACTGGACAAATTCAACAGCACGTTGCTATGTGTGACAGCTAAGCCTTAAGATGGCAGTTCTTCTGATAAATTAGGGGGCAGCAGACCAATGATTGAGCAATTAAAACGCGCTTCGTAGCGATACCAGTCGGCAGGGAAAAACGTGCTCTCTGATTACGAAGGCGTAAGCATAAGACATAAGCATGAGGAATGATTGCTGTAGTAGGAAGCGAGTAGAGCAGTCGCGGTGATGCTCTTCATCGCGCGATGACAAAAGCTACCACATCTAATTCAACCTCGTACCAATCTCACCTAGTCTCCCATTTTCTGGTTCGAAAAATTGTTACCAACTTCCTGTTGAGCAGCTTCGCTCCCTCTAATCAATATTGGAAAGGTTTGGAGGAGTGACCTTTACCAGAAATTAGCATAAGTAACGAAAAATGTCCTACGGACTGTTGTTTTCTTCGGATAAAACCTACACGAGATTCGTATTCTTCGTTTTTGAGTCGATGGCAAGCGTTTTGACAATTTAGTTTTCCTTAGAATCTAGGCATGGATAATATATTGAATCATATTCAGTTGTACTTGGTCAATTCTTGTATGGTAGGAAAAAATTAATGTAAAATTTAAAAGCCTCAGCTAAGATATCGAAACCTAGTGCCTGAGCTAGTTATATGGAGAAAATCACCGGCTGTGTTGTAGGTAACTTGGAGGAATTTATCCGCTCAAATTCAGATGAATAAATTCGAGGATTGGAAGCCATATAATTTGTGAAACACTCTCATTTTCCATTATAATTGCTCCTGGACTCTTGTAATTTATTCCGACAGTTCAGGAGCTTTTAGCGTTCGACTTTTTTACTTTACCCAAAGTTATTATTACCAGCCTGAATTTTCCACCTCTGTGTCTTTCTCACCTCATGCGACCTGATGAACATACATATCGACCTTTTCCACCTTCCATCCTAGACGTTTTTCACGCGGACACAAAGTGATTCTTCCCATTTCGATCATGTATCATCACCAATGACCTAAAGTAGATATAGTATTTTGTGCCCAAACTTATGCAGTTTAGCCTGTGCATTGAAGGCACATTACAAATCTTCTGCCCTTACACCGGGGATCATACAAGCGGGGTTCAACCACCGCCAAATTAATGCGTTGGGAGGAGTCTCGGTAATAATTACAGAGCTTCTCAGACAACACCTACCGACAATTTTTCAATAGGGGCCGGCGCTCGCGTCAATCGCTATAAAGGTAGTTTAACAATATTTTTCCATTGGGCTTGGAATAACATTGTTCGTTGAAGGCCGATATTCCTTTTGGCTCGAGCTCGCTAATTGCTCTTTATTTGCAGTGCCAAGGGCAAGGATTTTTTTCCTCTCTTGCAGTAACAAACTTTGTAGCTTCTCGGTACATGTTCGGACAAATGAAATATTTACATTGTTCCTACTTCGATTTGAAGAAGAAACGTTGAAATGCTTTAGGACGGCTGTTTCGAGTTTCAAGATATCGACTCAGCCAGTACTCAAAGGACGTTCAGCAGAGCAGAATTTGTCAACCAGCACTCGAATCCTAACTTGCGCGGACTTTTGCAGATGGTAGATGTAAAGACATGGAATACTGTAAATGGCGTAATATAGAAATCTTGAAAAACGGATTAAAAGGATTACGGTTACCTTTGCTAACTGAGGTTCCAAACATTTTTTTTCCATTTCAACACTTTTTCAGTTTGGACTGTTATTCATTTGAAAAACCAATCATCAATAGATAAATCATCATCAGATCATAGTATACAACGGTTGCCGGGCAAAAATTGATGCCTCCTCCAAGAATGAATGAGGCCGACGAACAAAGAAGTCAGTAGGGTCACTTCTGAGTTGGTGTAGCTTGTTAAATTTACCCAATGCTGAACTTCAAGGCGCGGAAGAGATAATAATCCGGTTGGCGAGCAATAGTAGGGCTATACGGATGACGTGGTACGTGGTCCAATCCAGTTGTTCTAAAGATGATAAGGAGACTCTTTTCAATGTTGCAGATGCCCGAACGCAAGCTTGGAGAAGAGGGACACTGAGTCGTTTCGGACGCTTCTTTCGCCACTTTTGGAGTTGTCGCCCTCTAAATAATCGACAGATGAATTGTCTGCTTGTTTCGAGCCACAATTCACAAAAACAACATGCTCTGCCATTGCTTAGGAAAGGAGAGCAAAACCTGAGACATAAAACTTGGGAGTTGGTGAGCTGGCTATTACGGCTGGGAGTTATTCTAGCGTCGTATATCAGTATCCTATACCCGTGGCTAATTTCTATTAGAACAACACCAGCATATGAACAACCTTTGACAGTAACCTGCCTTGAATTAGTGAGAAAAATGAGTGTGATATTAGTGTGAAAAAATTTGGGATAACACCAAACTTTATGTAGTACTCTAGAAAAGACAACTACAGTTTTCTTGGAAGAAGATCTGAGCAAAATAACAGGAGTGGCAGTGACATTGAAAACGATAAGCTTCACGATTGCTATTAGTTGGTAAATGAAAGCGAGTGATTAAACGAGTGATTCAATCATGCCGTAACTTCCTGTGATTAGCAAATAGATCGTTCAGTAGGTGCTGAATAATGCTTGCAATAAAACTGATCGTATATATCTCTTACGGTCATTCCACTGATTCACCGCCGATGATTCATATCCCGAATAAAAAAACGACAAGAAAACACTTCAAAAATGAATGAAACTAGCGATAAGCTCCCCACTGCTTTTAACACAATATCCTTATCACAGTGACTCAAAGTTACTGCTTGTCTTAAAAATCACCAGCCGAAACAAAGAACTATGCAGTGGTCATTTTTGTACTCATCTTCAGAGAACAAAAACTACTGATTAAACATCTTCTTGATTGAAGCTTTTGACAAGTCTACGACTTTACCTAGGCAGTTTATCAATGGTGGTTGATCGCATTGTCAATTTACTTTGTCCCATTACTTGGTGCCTGCACTTGTGTAAAAGAAGCTCCAGACGCTAGTCCATCTCCAGTCACGGATGGTACTAATGCTAATAGACTTACTGAAAGCTGTTCATTGCTTGGCTCTCATGAAGGGTGAAAACAAAATATCATGATATAGTTGAGTGTAATGCGATGTTTCCCTGCTCCATTGCTACGTTTGCAGTCGCAAGTTCGAGCCCGCATACGGAGAATAAGCCATCACTTTGAGCTAAGAGTTCTTGGCCTACCGAAAAGTTTGACTGAGTTCTTCATTTTTTTGAAGAACTAAGATAGTGTGACATCTCTAAGAAAGCGAACACAGTGAGGGAAATTTTTTCCTTGATAAGAAATGGTAGATCATCTGGAAATGATTGTTATAATTTGGATGATTTTCTCCAATGGCCATATTTTTTGTGGAAACATTGTGAACTTGGAGTTGCAACGGCAATCGATATGTATTTAATGCGTTAGATTAGTCTGTGAACGAATTTCCTACGTTTTAAACTTTAATTTGAGTAGAGCAGGCCCACAGCGCTAGCCCCGCTCGGTCGCGCGCGGTGAGCAGCCCGTAGTGCCGAGTGGTTGGTGACACAGGCCACTGGCAAGAAGGGTGTTAGTTCAGTCTTGTCCCTCATACCGGACTTTTCGAAGTTTTTTTCAGTCTGTTATTTACTTTTTAGCCATGCATGTGGTCTGTCATGGGCGCTTATACAGCCCAATACACGTGTTTTGGTCTTGCAGCCTCGTCAGTTGGGCAGTGCACTTCGTCTCAGCTAGCTCTTTCGAGGGAACCAAACCCCTTATATAGAGTAGGCGCGGACGTACTATTTACACGCTCCATTGAGTGAAAATATCACTGAGTGGACAGTGCTGCACACTCGGCTGCTCTTGGCTGATATTGTCAAATACGGTAAAATGTAGTGAAATTTATTATTTATGAACTATTAAGCATATTGAAATCTGAGCGTGATCTTGAGTAAACAGTCGAAACGAAAGGTTTTTTTAGTGTCGATTAGTATTAAGGTTTTTTATAGAGTGATCATTATAGCAAAAGACGCTCAGTTGTCTGAAATTCAATTACTTCTTGATGCGAAACGTAGATTCATGAGGTAGCAACGCATGTTCAACTCTCTTTTCACATTTCCTTCAGCGATTTTCTGAAAGTCGAACTTGATAATATCGTTTCTGCAGTGTACGACTTAGTAGAAAAAATTTTGGTGCTTACATGTTAGACGGCGACAAATTATAGACCTATCTCATCCGCTGGAAAGGAACTGTTCATTGGAGTGTTAGTAGTCATTCGAAAGCTTGAATCCCTGGCTAGAGCACTTCGGATCAATTTTTCAGAGCACCTCTTTGTAGCGCTGTTAAATAC